TGCCAGCAGCTCGCCGGGCATTCTCTCCCGCAGGAGACCCAGCGCCCAGCTCCTCACCTTCCTATCTGGGACCGCCAGCAGCGCCACTATCTTCTGGGCATGCGATGCATTCAGCATGCCCGGCATCTGCTTTTGCATGAAGCCCAAGAGCTTATCGGGAATTGACTCCGCCGAGACAGACAGCGTCTTCCGGTTCATCCCGAAGCTAGCGTCATAGACAACAGTGATCATCTTCTCCCAATGCTCTGCCAGCAACGTGCCACACGTCCGCTCCAGCAAGAGATTCAATGCCCAGCTGTTCGCCTCCGGATTCGCTAAGAGCGCAACGACCTTCTGGACATGCTGTGCGTGAATGACAGCTGGCATTTGCATTTCAATGAAGTCGAAGGTCCGCTCCTTCACCTGCTCATCTTGCCTGGGCCGGTGACTGGTCAGGTCCGATACGACCACATCAATGTGCTCAATCAGCTGCTCCGCAGACATCTTGCCCCGGAGAAGGTCAAACGACCACGACTGCAGCTTCGGGTCTGACAGCAGGGGCGGCACGATCATCCGAAAGTGCACGGCGAGAACATCCTCCGAAATCTGAGTTTCTATCATTCGCTGGGCTGAGTTGCTCACCTCTGGTTCATCACCTTGCAAATCTTTCAACAGGGGCATCACTTTCTGCCACAGCTCCTCCATCAACACCGAATTCTCTGCCAGCAGCTCGCCGGGCATTCTCTCCCGCAGGAGACCCAGCGCCCAGCTCCTCACCTTCCTGTCTATGGGCCATCTTTTGGACAGGAGGGGCACTATCTTCTGGGCATGCGACGCATTCAGCACCCACGGCATCTGCTCTTCCATGAAGTCGAGGTTCCGCTCCCTCACCACGCGCTCATACCAAGGGGGAGATATGAACACTTCAACGTGCTCAATCAGCTGCTCTGCAGACATCGTGTCCCTGAGCAGGTCCAACGACCACATCTGCAGCTCCGGATCTGCCAGCAGAGGCGGCACGATTTTCCGGAAGTGCCTGGCAACAACATCGGCGGAGAGCCTCTTTTCCAGGAGCTCTTGGGTTGAGACGCGCGTTTGAGGATCCTCATGTGTCAACAATGAAAGGACCATGTCCCAATACTCTGAGATGACCTCGCCCGCCATCTCCTCCTCCAGGAACCTCCGAACTCCGCAACGCACAGTGCAGCTTGGATCAGCAAGAAGCGGAATCACCTTCGCCCAATCGAGCTGATGCTGCAGATGCTGCAAGCTTCCCATGCTGCTCATCACTCCTGGATCCGCCAGGCACTGCACGGTATCATCGTCATGCGATGGCGGGTCAAGCATTGCTGGCAAGGGGCTTGGCATGCGGCAGCGCCAGTGACTTTAGTCGTACAGACTCGGCCGAGGCTCGAGCCTTCAGGCTACCGAAGCGAGCAAGTGAGCGAGCCTAGGGGCGGAAGGAAGTGCTTCACGCATGCGACCTGGAAGTCTCTCCCTGGAGTCTGAGGGCCCCACCCAGCGGTCCACGACACCGAAGCAGGCCAGCGCCTCAATCTCCTTTTTGCGCGACAAAGTCCCAATGATGTTGTTCACATCCCGACCAAAAAAACCTCTAAGCCTGGAAGCCCTCCATAGTTCTCAGGTGTCTACTTATCTGAACTATTGTTGGGGTACTATGAAAAATAATCCTTCTTGAGTTGAAGTATTCATAAACATGTAAAATCATGTTCGACAATGGCCTACTTAGAGGCTTCGGATGGCTTTAAGGACATGGGTAGGCATGGGTGGAAACCTGCTTAGGTGCTCTCTGGGAGCCTTTCCAAACAACCTCGGAGACAACCCAAGGCTTATAAGGTCTATATAGAGTGATGTGCTATAAGAGACGACCCAACCTCAGCTTCGTGGGCAGGCCTTGCCCAGCTTCAACAGTAAAAAGTGGGGTGGCTTCAAGCTGCGCATGATACATTGGGCAAGTCCTGAGACGGAAACTGATGAGGCGGGCAACCTTGAAAGCTCCCAGAATCTGAGCACAGAACTTGGACTCTGCTGTGCAAGATGTCGAAGAAAGCCTGCGTCTCACCAACATGCATGTTGAGAGACGAACTCCCATTGAAGTGCTTCCTACAGTTTGGTCTTGCCTACCAGGAGGGGGGCTGCCCTGCGCCACCCCGACACAAGGCAGGCTGTAGCATAGCCTTTGCAGTACTCAGGTTCCAAGAAGTGTTGGAGACCACTCGCTACTGAGCAGCGTCAGGGCTCAGGGTGGCACGGCTCGCATTTGTGCTGCCCAAAGCAACTCGCCACGCACGCCTACTGGAAAGGAGGGGGTAATGGCAGCAGAAAGCTCGCAAGCTGCTGGCTGTCAGAACCGCAGTCAACTAGCCAATGGAACTATACACAGCTCAGCACCCTTTATAGCCGGACTCTCAAAGTCTAAGCAACCCGAAATCACCGGATCTGATATCAAACCTGAACCACCTGATCCCCATATGAACCCCAACAGTGCCAGACGGACCTAAATTCTACACGACTAACCCGACATGCCACAGTGGATTCCAGGAGCGTGGCGCCTGCCGAATTGCGAGAACTTGGCAGACGATCACGCAACTAAACCTGGCGGCAACAGCGGGCTGGTCGTTTTTTGGGCGTCCTGGAAAAACAATCCCCATGCAAGCCCACGAACACAGAAGCCCGGCATATTTAAATACGGTCAAAGCCCTTTCAGGATGGCTTGAAGGGGGCTGTTAGGATTCGGGGCTTAGTCATTCGGTTACTGAAGGGGTCTTCTCGATTCTTACAAGTGGAACAAACTGGTTGAAACTTCTTGAAACTGCGAAAACCCACCCGCAGCTACCTGAAACTACTTGAAACTGCCTGAACCTACCCAGAACTACCCAAACGCTCTACTAATGAAGGGGCTTTCTCACATCACATTTCAGAGTAGATTCCAACATATGGAAAACATGCGACAAATTCGCAAGATAAGGAATCTTAGAATGAACAAAATATCCTTCGGAAATTATGAAGCGTCTAGGACTCACACGCTCTTTTCATATTATATAGACGATAGTATACCATTCTAGATTTCATCATTCGGCGAAAAGAAATCCAAAATCAGCAATAAACATGTCCCAAAACGACCATAGCATTCCACAAGCTACCACAACTACATTTATGATTTTCCAAAAACTGCCAAACACTACCAAAACTCCCAAAACCTGCCAAAAACTACCAAAAACTCCCAAAACCTGCCAAAAAACTGCAAAAAACTACCGAAAACTACCAAAAACTGCCGAAAACTTCCGATAGCGACAATGACCAAATGCTTATCAACATTCCAAAAACTGCTGCACAAGCCAAACATTGTGTTTATTTTTGCTTCGAAATTTCAGCACCACGCCAGCAAAACTATACAAGGTCGGCTGAACCCAAACCCTGCAGCAAAAATGTGTTTCCGCCCTGCTGGCTCAACATCCTCAAACCACCCTCGGGACACACGATGTCATGAGTCCGCCATGGTAGCTTCTAGTAGTTTTCAGTAGTTTTTGGAAGTGCCGACTCATGCACCAGAAACCCCCCCTTCTGTGAAGGACCCATAAGCTTACTAAAGACTTAGGACTTCACGCCGATAGCCTCCCCAACTTCGACTCACCCTAATGCTACCGGACGCTGCTGTATAGACCTTGCCCAGCTTCTCAGGTAGTCAAGATTAAAACGTAGCCCTGCATGGCAGGGCGGGAGCTCCCGTGCCCCGTTGCTTGCGGCTCTGTAGGCTTGAGAAGGACGGCTTGGGTTGCTTGTGATCCAGAGGTCGCGAAGGTGAAGCACCTGGACCCTGCAGATGCTTTGCTTGTGCGTTGTCGATGCTCACTCCGACCCTAAAGTGTTTCTGTTTAGTGTGCACTTGGAGACTTGGATATGTTTTCCAGCTTGCTCGTTGTTTCCCCCAGCCACACGCCTCAGTACTGGCCAGCTGCAAAGTTTAGAAGAGGCCAAGCCCCTGAAAGCCTTGGACCCTCGAATTAGCCGCCCTAGTCTCTGAACCCGCAGTCCTCGAAAGGCCTCCGAAAGCCCCTGATTTGTCTTTTTCGAAAACTTAGGTTGCCTTGCCCTCGGTTTTTTCCCCCAAGTCCACGAGCCTCCTGTGAACCAGGATCTCTACTTTTCCACCTCCGCAGAGACGGTGCTGGAGGCACGTCGGCAGTTTGGAGTTCGGGGAGGTTTGACTGACAGGGGCTTAGGCTTCATAGAATCAGCTCGATTTAGTATTGCAAGATATGCAGCATTCAGGGAGCTTCGGGGAGGTTGGGGGTCTGTTGAGGTAGCCGGTCTCCTCCAATGAGCGGACTTGGGGCAGGGCTATAGTAAGTCTGGGGGAACGGAACGTGCGCACGCGCACGCCATCAAGGGCGACTGCTGATTCTCATACTGGTCTTATGGTGCAAAGACTTGTGGAGCTCAGGATGAGGGATGTGGGAACTCCAGGATCCTCCTGCGAGCAATTCCGTCGGGGTGAGGCGGGGGTTGGTCCAGAATCTCGAGCGTGCCCGACCTAAGGAGAATACTTAACTTCAACAACACACAGCGCCTTGTCTCTGGAAGCCCCGGAAGCTGGCAAACCTCAGACCTCGCAGAGATGGGTGTACATAGTTCTCTGCTCAGAGCCATCCTGGTCAACGACGGCTCTAATATAGGGCAGTTTCTGTCTCACACACACACACACACACACACACACACACACACACACACACACACACACACACACACACACACACACACACACACACACACACACACGGCGACCTGGCTCAAAGCAGAAAGACACATACTGGATCCTGTTTTCGCACGTTATTGGGCAACAATTGCTCCCCGCATATTATACATACCATACCATACCCCTTCACTGATGTCCCAGCGTGATGATGCAGGTCGCGCTTCTGCGGCCCGTCACTTCGTCAGTCTTCGTGCAAGGTCCAAATAGTCCGGCATGCTGTGGTAAGCTGGGATCTGGCTGAGAGTCATGGCTGCCTCTCACTGAGAAGCTCCTTCAGTGGCGCCGCGCCTTCACTGGCTACGTGGGCAGAGCAAGAGGCCATGCTCACCAGCACCACTTGACCCACCACATCGTACTCACCCAACATCTGCGCACTGCTTGCATTGCAATTCCGCTGAAGGTTCTCGATGTACTTCTGCGCGATGCCAACCCTGACGCCTTTCACCACTTCCTTCTTGAGCCTGGGCAGGACATCCACCAGCCAGGTTTGGCAAAGCGGTAGCCTGGGGACGGGATCCCAGTCGTGAACCCAGTGCTGCGTGATGGCGTGCAGCTTTTGCCACATCGTCTGAGCTGTTCCTGCCTGTGGAACAAGGACATGGGGGGCGCCGAAGGTGCGGACGGCCGAGACGTCCACGTTCAGGCTCAACAAGTGGACGGCCATGACTTGGGCGTAGCCGCCACCGAGCGAATGGCCACAGAGGACCAGTTGATCTCCAGATCGGCGGTGCTGGTTCAATACCTTGAAGACCTCTTTCACCACATGGTCGACGTTCTCTCCCTCCTGCTCCAGGACGTGGGCGATTCCACCGTGCACACCCAGGCCGTGTTCCTTGAATCTGAAGCAGTCCGGCACGGCGCTGAGGTCGATTGCAGCATCTTGCATGTCATCCGTCCCACGGAAGCAAAGGTACAGAGCAGCGCCAAATCTGGCGAGGAGCCACTGCACCGGGCTCTTGCTAGTGGCCTTCCTGGTCACATGGAGCACGTCCATGTTGTCCATTCCATCGAACGGTGTCACCTCTTGCAATACAACCGCCTCACTTCGACAGTCCCGGGTCACGTTATAGACGTGACCTCTCCAGACAGGCTGGCATTGAGCCAGAAGCAGGCGCCGATAGAGTCCGGAAATCCATGAAGCTGCATAAACATCCACCGTAACTTTCTCTTGTGGGATGAGCATGCTGATTCTCTCGCCTGCTTCTACTTTGCGTCTCTCGTCAGCCGCACGCTCGTACACGACCATTGCTCTGTCCAACTTGTTGTGGACGACAACGGCCTTTCCCGCCTCTTGCAATACAACTGCCTCACTCTGAAAATCCTTGGTCAAGTTGTACGAATGACCTCTCCACATTGGTTGGTTTGGGGCCAGACATTGGGGAAAGAGCCATGCGACTGCGTAGACATCCACCGAAACCGTCTCCTGCTGGATGCCGATGCTGATTCTCTTCCTTGCGTCCAGCCTGTGTCTTGCGGAAGAAGCATGCTCGTGCACGACCACCGCTCTGTCCAACTTGTTGTAGATGACAACGGCCTCACCTGCCTCAGCTGGCTTCAATACGCTTGCAGCATCCTCAACGTACACAGCGTAACTCAGGGCAGCGGCAGTCCCCGCAAAGGCGTCAGCGTGGAGATCAACCGGTGATCCGAAGCCACTTGGGGGTTCCACAGGACGGCAGTCCGACGAGACCACCTCTGATTTCAATGAAGCGACTTCGGAGCCCGAGCCTTCGGAGGTTGAGCAAGTTGAACTGAACAGGCCACCGAGGCCAAACGGGGCCGCTATCTTCGCCAGCCGTTCGTTGGGGGGAATGGTCTCCCGGTCTTCTCCTCGGGCGCAGCAGTGGTTGAATGCCCTCTGGGCCGCATGATGGCAGTTGGAGGATGCTAAGTTGTATGGCCCCGTGTCGTGAGCGTTCTCGTACAGCTGCTTCACCTTGAGTCCCTCCTTGAGCTTGCTGGTGGTGGCTAGGCTTAGTTTCTTGTGAGTTCGCAGACCTGGAACGCTCGTCAAGTTGGCTCCAAGATCCTGGCTCCCAATGAAGACGCCATGCTTCTGATGTGCCTCCCTGCCAACCGACCCGGCCTTCTCGAGCACGTACCTTCTCGTTGCTGCTTGGTTCGCCTCTCCACCAGAGACGGTGATGACGAGGAAGGAGTGCAGGCCACCCAAGTGCCCCGCCATGCCCGGGAGAGGCACGGTGTACCACACGACCTTGGTGACGGATCTCTCCTCCTTCTCCATCTCATCGTAGGCATTCCCGTGGCCGAAGCGGGTCTCCTGGAAGTGCATCTTGCTCCGCAGGAACCGATCCACTTCGCGAGTCGCCGCAAGCGTGAGCGGCTCGTGGCCAGCTTGGTTTTGGGCGCGCAGGGCGAGGCCCGCCGTGTCCACCAGGGCCTTGCAGGCCTCGAGGTGGCCTGCTTTGGCCGCCAAGTGCAGCCACGTGTTGCCAGACTCATCTCGCCACTCGGAAAGGTGCTCTCTGCTCAGCTTAACGAGGCAGGAGACTGGCAGCTTGGAAAGGAGCCCTGCAGTTTCATGATCCTTCCACTTGTCGGTTGGAACCCGCAGGATCTTCCTCAAAGCTTCTTCACAAGCTGTCCTGCAGCCCTCCTTCCGAAGCAGTTCTCGCAGGGGCTCGGAATGCAAGGAAAGCTGCGCCGTTGACAGGCTGTGCCCCTTGTCCAGAAACATCGCGGCGGCCGCGAAGGCAAGACGAGAATCGTACAGGAGCGCCCCGACCTTCTGAAAATGGTCCCCAAAGAGCTTGCTGGGCATCCGCCGAGCCAGGAGGACCAAAGCCCAACTCCTCACCTCCCGATCTGAACTCCCCAGGAGCGCCGCGATCTTCTGGGCATGCTCCGCACGCAGCACGCTCGGCATGTGCTCTTCCATGAATTGGAAGGTTTGCTTCTTCACCTTCTCCCTTGCCCCCGCCAGGTGCGATGTCACCAAATCAACATGCTCAATGAGCTGGTCCGGTGCCATCTTGCCCCGCAGAAGGGTGAACGACCACGGCTGCAGCTCCGGATCGGTCAAAAGGGGCGGCGCGATCTTCCCGAAGTGCCCGGCAACGACCTCGACGGAGAGTTTTCTATCCAAGAGTTCTCGGGTTGAGGCTGAGGCGCACATCCACGCCTCTTCAGCATATAACGACGGACACATCGCCCAACAGTTGGCCCAAAAGTGGGCCCAACAGTTGGCCCAACAGTCGGGGCTGGTCTCTTCTTTCTGGGTCAATAAGAGTGCAAGGAACGTCTTCCGACAACGTGGGATGAAATCGCTCGGCATCTCATCCTCCAGGAACCTCCGAGCTCTGCATCGCACAATCCAGTCGGATCAGCAAGAAGCGGAATCACCTTCGCCCAATCAAGCTGCTCCCTGGGCATGTGCTGCTGCAGAAGATGAAAGGCGCCAATTCGGTTCATTACTTCTGGATCCTCCAAGCACTGCACTATGTCATCGTAGTGCGATGGCGGGTCACGCCATGCTGGGAAGAGACGAAGCATTGAGCAGTGCTAGCCGAAGGTCTGGCAGCGGCTTGAGGCTTCGGGCTACACATGAAACACGACATGAGCAAGCAGATAGCCTGAGATGGAAGCTCTTGATGGGTCATGCGACCTTGAAACCTCTCAGAATCTGAGCACAGAACTTGGCTTCGGCCCGCGAGAACTGCGCGCGCAGTATGCGCAGTCCAGGGGCTGCTACCTTGACAAGGGCGCCATGGTCCGGGGATCTCAGAAGGTTCATCCCCAGAACTGCCCTGAACGGCTGCCTGGGCAAAAAGACCCACAGACTACGACCCAGTAAACTTCAATAAACTTTTTCTTCTTCTTCTTCCTCCTACGACCCCCCCCAAGCCCTCTTCAACCCTGAACCCTCCAGCCCCGACTCCTCCAAGTCCCCTAAACTTGAGAGCCTCCTCTCCTCGTCTGCAACATTCCGCAACCAACCGAAGGAAGACCTGCGCCATGGGGCGGGGGGGCGCCTAACTGGTGGTTTCTTGAGGGAGCCGGTCTCCACTGAGGGGACTTGGGGCCACCAGTGCGTGGCTTCGGGCACGGCAGCACGCGCACGCAGTCAAGGGCGACTGCGGATTCTCAAGATGGGAGGTGGCTGGCTGGGCCAATCTCAGCTTTCAGAGGTTCAGCATACGTCTCCACGAATGAGGACAGGGAATGCCTTGTGCTTCGAGGGCTTGTGTGGAGCTCCAGGATGAAGGGTGTACAGGGGGTCTCTGCTCCGCCATCCGGTCAAGGACAGCTCTACATAATCCGCCGAGGCCTCGGGCCGAAGGTGTATAGGTTGTCAGCCCCCTTTCACCCATCCTGTCAGCCCTTTCAGCAGAACCCGCCGTTGTTCACCCCGCCCCGCCCCCCCCCACCCCCCCCTCCCACCCCACTCGGGCCCCCACCCCCCTCCCCCCTACCAGTCGCCTTAAACCTTAAGGGGCCTGGCTCAACCCTACGATCACTCCAAGCCGAACCCTAAACCCAAAAAAACCCTCAACCCCAAAGCGTGAACCTTGAGCCCTAAACTAACCCTCAACCCCAAACCCCAAACCATAAACCCGGAACCCTCAACCCTCAACCCTCAACCCAACCCTTATTGCTTGGGGTCCAGCGACTTGGGCGCTGCGGAATCACCATGCTCACGCGGATGCGCTGGGCCGGGCCGAGGCGGGTCGCGTAGCGTTAAAATTAGGGCTCTGCTGTTTTCGAGGATGCTACTTTGGGCAACGATTGCGCCTAACATCCAACTCCCGAAGCCCCATGGCGCTTGGAGGCTGGGCCATGGGCGGATTGCGCTGGAGCAGCTCCCTCGGCCGCTCCGCCCTGGCAGGGCAGCCACCATCAGGGCTGTGCGGCCTCAGGGGGGGCAGTCCGCGGAGCTGCTTTGCTTGCGACAGAAGGCACGCGCGCGCGCCCCGGAAGCTGAGCTCCACGCCTCTGTCGTCCTTGGCATCCTGGCACGAAGCTTCTTCAACCAGGCAGCAAGCGGAAAAAGAGGCTCCACCTGCGCAAAGGCCAGCGGTCGTCCGTGGGCCAGCGCCTGCACGCCTCGTCCGCACGGTCATATGTGCAGCTCTGAGTACCTATGGATGCTTCCGAAAATAGGGGTTCCTTTTTGCCAAAAAGCCTTCTTGCCAAAACCTAAACCCTACACCCCAAACCCCTGCAAGAACCCGAAGAACCATTCCCGAAAAAATCAACGAAAACTTCTGCAAACCCCTCTCCACCAAAGCTTACAAGGCGCTGCGCCTCCCGGTGCGGCGGCCAGTCCATACGGACGATGTGAGCATTTTTTCTGGTGGGGGGGTGGGGGGAGGAGGGGGCTGCCCCTACACCCGAAACCCAAATCCCCAAACCCTAAGCCCTCAACCCCACTAAGCCCTCAACCCTATAGGGTTAGCATACCCGCCTAGTTTTCGGTATGTGTTTTGGGGTCCAGGTAAGCCCTAAACCCCGAATCTCTTCTTGGGGGCAACCCATGGTTGGGCAGAGCAAAGGATCGTCGCAGGAAACGGCGGTTTCCCAAGATTAAGGGTCCTCGTCTTGTCCAGGGGATTTATCCTAACACTCGAAACCCTAAACCCTAAACCCGAAACAATTTAATCGGACTACAAAGCAGTCAGGACATGGGGATGGCGTCCGGAGCCCAACTGGAGAGTCACAATCGCGAGGCTCTGCATCCTAAGCACCCGAAAACACCATGAATTAGGGTTTGGGGTTTAGGGTCTGGGGTTTAGGGTTTAGCGCCTTATGTTGCGCCTCGTAAACCCTGAAACCATATAGCTAACCTTACAACCGTAAAGTCTTCTCAGGCTTTTAAGCATTACCAACCCTACGACCCTACATCCTCAACTGCATCGCTAAATTTGAGGTTGGCGACTCCTGACTTCGAGGCTTCCGGAGGTAGTATTGAGGTTTAGGTTTTAGGTGTTGGGTGTTTGGAGTTTAGGGTGTGGATAGGTGTGAGGGTTTAGAGTATTAGAGTTTAGGGTTACGGGCTTAGAGTGCTGGCGTTTAGAGCTTAAGTGCTTAAGGGGGCTGTGGAATTTACAGTATCAGGGTTAAGGGCCTATAGGGTTTCAGGATTATACTCTGAAATACAGATGCTGGTACGGAGTATCCTCCGGCCCTTTCAAAAAGTCCTGGATGTTGTAAGTGAACTAAACATCACGAACTCTCAAGATGGCAAAGCTCCCAAACCCGGCAAACTCTGTACAAGTCGTGTATACGACCCCACGTTCAAGAACTTCAGCCTGCTTGATCAAAGCAAACACATGCAAGGGGAACGACCACAGCAGTGGCTAGTGCCTAAAGCGGGGTCTTTTGAGGGCAAGCTTAGGGCCCTTGAGGTTTGAGGGCATTTAGCAAAAGGATTCAAGTGAAGTGGCTAATATGAACCGCTAAGCCCCCCCCCCCCAAAAAAAAAAAAAAAAAGCATTTTTCCTCCTTCTGCATGGGCTTCCTCCATCTGAGCTAGCGGCCCCTTTGAGCCTGAGTTGAATCGAGCCCTTGCTAGCCGAGCAAGGGCTCTCCTGATTCGCCTGCTTTGCCTGCTTTGCCTGCAGGGGCCTGTCTCTTACGGGAAGCGCTCCATTCGGAGTGCCTCCATGAGGATTACTCCACCTCCGTAAACCACAGTGCCTCTTAGGCAGCCCTCTCTCCCAACATGTCAGCAGTCTACTCAGCTGAGCCGTCGCAGGAGTAGGGTTTTGGGCGCAGAGTCCCCTGCCTTTGCTTCTGCAGCGTCAAGGAGGGATCCCTCCCTCCCTCAGCCCTGCCCCTTATAGCTTCTTCTCCCCCAGTGCACATGCCCTGAGAGGCGCTCAGCGCACTGCGGTCGGGTCAAACCCTAAAAGCCACCCTAAGCAGCCCATGAGCTTTGTGGACTTAAGGGCTTCGAAGCTTTTGAGTCTTGGACTGAGGCTACGAAGGCTTCACGGACAGGGGACCTTTGGGATCCGAGAGGTTTCGGGGTGCCGGTGCTTGTTTGCGGAGCCGGCAGTCATCACCATAAGCTGCCAACACAAATGGCCTCCCAAATGGGGGAGCCGATGTGACTCTGAATGTGGGGCAGGGGTTCGAGCGCTGCTCCTTCAACCCCGGATCCGGAGCCCCACAGCCTAGCTGGCGTTCTGCGAAGCCTTCGAGGCTGAGCAGGGGCAGCAAGTGAGTGATATGTCCACTCCCCCACGAACGCCAAGGCGCTACGTGTAGAACCTTGTGAACCTTGCGCTTGATTCCACATCTAGGTCCTGCGGCTACTTCGCGCACGGCAGGACTTACACGCCTACGACTAGCCTCTGCCAGACGTGGCAACCGGCAATTGCAGGAAAACACATTCTGCGCTTATGCGGGCAACCAGCATCCTAGAGTTGCTGAGCCTGGCAGCCTTGAGGTCTGAAAGGCCTTCCAGCTTCAGGATCGGTGCTGAGAAGCTTCCTGCTCTAAATCGAGCTTTGGGGGCCCCGAGGTCAGCCGAGTTCCGCAAGGCAAGCGCCTCCTCCTCTTGCATGAGGGCTTGCCGCTGAAAGGATGGCTTCGCGACCGCGGGCACATGCAGCCGCATGTCGTGCCTTCCCTGCTCAGCAAGGAGAGCCTCTCACCGCATGAAGATGCGAAGGATGGGCCTGCGCGTGCGAGTGGCAGCGTTGCAGCAAGTCCAGAAGACTCCTCCTGAGGCCACCTACATTTTCTGGAACAGCTGGCATCTCTTCATTTGTGTCGTCTGCACTGCATGCGCGCACCGGATAGTGGAGACACTTGAGGAAGAGACCGACTGTGGGACCTTTACGGAAACTGTTAGGCCTCTGCCTGTTCACGGCCGAAATCTGACTCTGCAGATGTGGCACAGGCAAACAACGCCAAGCTCCTGCTGGCAGGGCGCGGTCTGCATCGAAAAGAAGGCCCAAATCCTCGGGGCCTCAGCTGGAAGCCGCCACGGCCCTGGCCGCATCACACACAACTTTGGGCTCCTTTCGTTGCAAAGGCTGCGGATTTGGACCGGCCGCTGTTGCAAGGATTGCCATGTGATGTCACGCGCCGCCATTCTTGCAAGAGCTGGGACATCTCTTGTAGATGTGGGATTCCGGGTTGCAGCCTTTTTGCGGCTTAGGGCCAGTATAGTCGCCATGGTGTTCATGTGAGTGGCTACAGGGGCTTTGGAACGACCTGACAACTCTCAGGGACTGTCAGTGCCTTCGTTTTGCAAAGGCAAAGGGCTCCAAATAGCTGGGAACCGGTCCGAAGCGGAACCGTCGAAGCAAGCTGGAGTCGCTCTTCTACATGTCCAAGGCTTAGAGGACCCAAACGGGTCTTGAGATTAGCCTCAAAGGTTCCTGAGACCACTGCGAGGAGAACAGATGATCAATGCGAAAGAAGCCACCAGCTACTCCGCTTAGGACTGTAGGGCCTGTCAGCCTCGTTTCAGGGTCTCGGGGTGATTGTAGTCGCCCGGCTGCGTCCTGCGCGGACTCGGACGGCGCAATTGGGGTCTTGGCAATTGGGGTCTTGGCGACTTGAGGCTTCAATTGAGTTGTGTATAATGCTTCGCGCATGAGGTCGGCTGATGTGGAGCGGCCCCTTGCGGTCGCACGCGCACAGAAACTGTTGAAAGCCGGCTGTGGAGACAAGCCCTGAGCCCTAAACCCACACACCTCATATAGACGGGACACAGACTTTGGATGCAAGAAAGCTTCAGTTGCGTCTTCCTGTGTCGTTGAAAATCCCCATGCAGGGTCATCGGCCGGTTGAAAACTGTGCCTGTAACAAGAGGTTTAGGCGGTATAGGGCCTATAAGGGCTTTAGGATGTGCCAACGCTCGGAGTTGCTCAAGTGACACCTCTCCATTTGTGCGAGGCTATTCAAAGCAGGTGGCACATGCCTTTGAAGCCGTTACGATCATGCCGGCTCTGTTTTTTGCACCTTTGCCCTGGGCGGCAGTCAAGCAGACCTTGGTTGTCAATTCACACATGGCACTCCACAACTTGGGCAAAGCAACCTCTAAAATGACCGATGATGTCACACAGGCGCTTGGGGCCCATCAAAGGAATGAAGTTGCCGGCCGGGATGGTACAACCTCAAGTGCAGCGGATGTCGCGTCGCATTGCGGCGTTCTCCCTAGTCGATCATCTTTGTGATGAACACCAGATCGGCGTCGCGTGCTGTGAAACAACAGCCGTTACCGCACCTGCAGCAAAGGAAGGTGGAAACCGCAATCGGGAACTGGGGTGTTCAAGCTTCGCTGGTGGCTCTGCAAGCGACTTGGGCGCGGATCTGCCGATCCTCTGAATGGGTGGAGTGGCTGCCTAGGCCAACGCGGGTGAATAACTGCACGAGGAGTCGGGGGCTGAAAGGCTCCCGAGCTTTTGGCCTCTCTATGTGCCCAGGGCACCTGCGCAGCGGACCGGCGCGAGCACCGCCTTCGGCTACGGTGCGCGCCTTATGAGGCCTCACTTTACGAGGCCTCACTTCTGTAAGGGTTTTGGCCGCCCTAGCCCTTTACCCCTCGGGCCGAAGGCCTCATAAGCCTGGCCCTGAACTGTGCCTCGCTCCGTGGCTCACAGGCCGCCCTCCTTTCTAAAGGAGCCGGCACCCTCGGCAGAAGCCGCTTTCAGCGTGACCTCCGGCGTCTGTTAGGCTCTGGTGGGGCGCCCGTCCCAAGCTTTAAGGAGAGCGGGCCAGGAGGTTTTTGGAGCTGGGGCTTTGAGGGTTGAGAGGCGCGCACGTTGCAGGCATGGAAGCCCCTGTAGCAAGGCTGGGCAAGGCGGGAATGCCGCGCTTTCCGAGCAGCTGGCATCCGTCTGCCAGCTTGTCCCACTGCTGACATCCGCGCCCCAAAGCAGATGGGGATGCTTCAGTCGGGCTTCCTTGAAAACCTGCGCGCGATATGCCGGGCCACGAAGAAAGCCTGATGTGGGGGTGGTTCTGAATTCTGGTCCATTACAACGTCGTCCCCTTTATTTGGGATACCAAAAGAGGTGCTGCCATCATTCAGAAGAACGCACGCGATACGTGTGGACGGAGAGCCGCAGAACCCAGCGCCGAGGATGGTTTGGAGGGGCCGCGT